CTATGTAGAAACATTTTTTTTTAAATTGAGTTTGACTGTTATTCCTTTTTGGCATCAACTTTTTGATTAATATCTTGAGACTATCACGTTCGTGATATGAAGATTTTTCTGAAAAGACCCCTAGTAAAATTTACCAAAAATTAGATTTCTAGAATATATCAATCTTCTAACGAAATCAAAAATTGGCTTTTTTAGGATTTCCTGGAGTCAAAAGGACCCTTTCAGGCAGCAGCTAATGGATTAAAATGTTCCACTGTACTGTATATGTCTTAACCTTTAACTTCGCTCAGACAATTATTTTAACCATGAAATTTTAAGTAGGCTATAAAATAAAAATACGAACTAACTTTTGCAAATCCGTCGAGTATTTTATTATTGGATACTATGTCTACATCTTAATTTTTTCCTGGAACTTGTCTCTGTCTTTCTCTTCGTCTTTGTATTTCTCCTTGTATTCGGCTTTGTTGTTGCCTTTATCTTAGTGTTTGTTTTAATCGTAATTTCTTTCCTGATCTTAACTTAAATTTCTGAATTTTCATTATCATTTTTATCTGCCTCTTCATGACTATCTCCCTCTTCAGCTTCATATTAAATCTTCGTCTACATCGTATACATATTCGTTTTTCTTTTTCTCTTAACCATTGTCTTTCTCATCATCTCCATCTTCTCTATAATTTCATTCTTGATCTGTGTCTGTATTTTTATATCCGGCTCGGTCTTTAACTTTATTGTTATCCATTATATACATTACTTATTACTTCCATTGCTTATATCCTTATCTACATCCCTGCCTTTGCTTTGGCTCTCCACGCTCCTAGTGGCGTTGAATGCGGCTGTTGGTTTTCTGTACGCACCATATACCCATACTACCATCACCGTGACATTAAATATTTTATGTAAACATCTTCGCGCTTGACTATAAAGTTTAGCTAAAGTTAAACATTGAAATTCTGTTAATGCATTTGGTATCTCTCAACAGTCTGGACTGTAAACAATGTACATATCTTTATTTACTCCTTACTCCAACAGAAGGAAAACTATTTCTATTTCTAAAATGTGCGCTTTTAATTTATATATATAAGCCGTTTTTATTTAAGTCGGAATGTTTTCGTCTCCGATTCGCTTCAAACTTTTTTTTATGGGTTCAACACATACAATAAGCTAACGTATTCGAGGAAGTTTTTTTTTTCTTGTTAGATATGATCTGTCAAAGTTTGGATTTTTTCGTGCTTCTGACCAATTATGTGGTTCTTAAAAGTGTTAAATCTCGTGTTCTTCTCATTTCAGATACTTCACTTAATGCCGTTTTAAAGTTAAAGCCACGGGCTTAATATTTTTATATATAAGATGGCCATAATTGTCCTAAAGTTAACTTCTCCACTAACGGCTGAACTTTTCGAAGTCGATTTGTACAGTGAAGACCAGCAAATTAGGGATTTAAAATTACACCGTCGTAATTCTTGTTTAATTAACTGTATAAAATACGGTTAAAAAAAATTGGCATTTTTCAAGAACTATGTTTAAAATATGTATTTTATTAATGTTATTGTGGCTTATTAAAATTTTATTTTTAATATTTTTATTGAGCTTTGTACCACGATTGTTTATTAGAAGAATGCCGTCAAATATTTTAACGCGTCCTTCTTCGCCGTCAACTTTGTTAAGAGTCTTTCTTCGCCGAAGTTTTCTTTAAGTGCCTTTTTCGCGGTCAACTTTTGAGCTCGCGCCTTTATTCGTGTCTAGTGACGATATGCACTCCGAGCAAAGCTCGGCAAACCTGGTACTATTTAGAAAAGTGCTACAAATCGGGTTTTTGCAAAAATCTAAATTTTGTTGCGGATTCCGATAAAATACCTATCCAGAAATAATATTTGGGTGGCAAGATATTTGGCGGCCGCTGTGGTGTAGTGGTCAGCGGTGCGCGCTTCCACTCCGAACGGCCTGGCTTTTTTCTTAGCAGTATTTCTGCCATGAAAACAGCTTCTCATAAAAATACAATCGCCGTCCGGAGTCGGCGTAAAACTGTAGGTTCCTCCTCTTTGTGTGACGACATCAAAGCGCACACCAAAAATCGGAGGAGAAGCTCGGCCAAACACTTACGTATTTGTAAGCACCAATTTATTATTATTATTATTATGGCAAGATTTTTTTTAAAGGCAACATACCTCTAGAAATGGCCGTGTCAGTTGTAGGACTGAAGTTAGCAAAACGTAGATTTTATTGCGCATTCCGCAATATAGTAATTCTACCGAAATCCACAATAAAAGCTATATATTTGAACTTTGGAAATTGAAAATCGCCACGCCCATTTCTAGAAGTTCCTTTGATTGAAAAAGTTGATTGAACAAAGACCTTAAAGAAAAATCTTACCATACAAATATTATTTCTGGCTTGGTATTCAATCGGAATCCGCATTAAAATTAAAATTTTAGTAAAAGCTCGATTTTTAACACCTAGCTAAATATATCTGATCGTAGGTATTCGAAGACAAATTACAAAAAATTGTGGCTTCTCACCAAATAAATCATCTTGTCTTAAAAAAATATTTTAAAAATAGTTCTTGAAAAACGCCCATTTTTTACCAATTTTATTATAGAGAATTAAACCAGAATTACGATGGTGTAATTTTAAATCCGCAATTTACTGGTCTTCAATATTCAAATCAACTTCAAAAAGTTTAACTATTCATAGCTAAGTTAGCTTTAGGGCAATCATGACCATCTTATTTAAATATATGTTAAGCCCGTTTCTTTAGCTTTAAAACAGCGTTAAGATCTAGTCTCTGCGATGAGCAGAGCCCAAGGTATTACGATTTGAAGAAGTACATGATTTGTCAGACTCACGAAAATCACGAATCCAAACTTTGACAGATCATATCTCCAAAGAAAAACATTTTAAAAAATATTCCTCGAATACATATTAGCTTATTTCATGTATGTTAAGCGAATCGAAATTGTGACACCAAATGCCCGATATTAAAAGGAATGCCTCAAATGTGCTACGGTGGTGCAAAAAACTAAAGGCACAATGTTAATGCTCTTACCTTCCAGCATTATACTATACCGAAAAAACATACCCCTGTTTTTATTTTGAAATCGAAACTTATTTAAAGGGCGCTCAAAGATTTGCATGTATTTTTTATGAAAAAAAAAAACATTTTCTTCAGAATTAAAATAAAAAAAACTCTTAAGGAGACTTCCAATAATATTGCCATTTGTTTATTTTACCATTTTTAAATATTAAAGATTTTTTTTTGGGATTTGGGGGACCTAAAAAATATAGTTAATATTAAAAAATTGTTAAATTAACAATTTTGCATTATCATTGGAAAACTGTTGAAGAGAAACAGAGTTCTCCGATCGAAAATATTAGTTAACAAGAATTCTACGCCATTTATACGAAAAACAGTTATTTTTCCTATAAAAAAAAACAGGGGTATATGTTTTAAGGTTTAGTATAATCCCAGGGGTGAGAACTTAAAAATTCCGTCTTTACTTTTCTTTTGGACCATCCTAATATACACACGTATGTACATATGTACATTGTAAAAAGTTTGGTGAAGCAAAGCGTAGCTTGTAATAAGAATATACACACATACATAGCTTGCTTTTCTTTATTTGTTATCAAGAGGGAAAAAAGCTCAAACAAAAACTTTAACCACCTCGTTGTTTTTCTTTACCCCTACATTGTTCCGTAATTGATTGTTATTGTTTACTCATTTTATTAACCACGCACGAGCTGTAAACAAGCTGGCGCCCTTTGAATTTTGTATACAGATTTTTTATTTTTTTGCAATTGTATCGATGTTGTTGTTGCTTAAGGAAACATTGATAACGAACTATGTAAGCAAGTGTGATCGTCAAGGCGAAGTGATGAACTAATCTGCAATTTAAGATGATGACTAATACTCACTACCATAGGTTATGCGAAAAGTAAACATTTTAAAAAGGTTGCACATGGCGTATACTTACCATTTACAAATATGTAGAGTACTAACCCAGCCAACCAACGGAGTCCGCAAGGTTCACAATTACGACTCCCTGTTCACCGCGCTAATCCTCCATAAGAAAGTGTCATAACTTTTTTATTTTCTAAAACGCGTTCGCGTATTTGCATACATACATATCGCCACTTAAACTCCACTCCACTCCCATAGTTTGACCCCATCCATATTCCTTCAATCTCTGCTGACAATGTTCTCCTTCATTCGAATAGTTTAAAAATTCTTTTCTAAGCGGTCCGGATGGTATTCCTTCCTGTGTCCTAATAAGTTATGCAGATTATCTATATAAGCCATTAAGGACTCGTATATCCTGCCGCTGCATAAAAATGGAAGCAGGTCGAATATTGCGAATTATAGGAGAATCGCCATTCCTAAAGTATTGGAATAAATCGTTACGGAAGAACTATCTTATTTCATAACGCCTGTTACCGATGGCGCAAGGCAAATCAACTGTATCAAACCTTCTTGAATTCACTACAAATGTGAACAATTGTTTCAAAAGTAACTATCAAACTGACATCATTTACACTGATTTCAGCAAGGCATTTGATTAAGTATCTCAATTCAACTCTAATATACAAACTTGCTAAAATTGGTTTCCCTCCAATCCTGCTGCGCTAGTTTTCTTCTTATTTCATTGGCAGGAAACAGAGGGTTATCTTAAAAAAAAATTCATCTCAGGTAATTCCTGTGACGTCAGGTGTACCTCAAGGTAGCCACCTTGGCCCCCCTTCTGTTTCTTTTATTCATCAACGATCTACCAAATATTTTGAAGTATTCTAATTGCTTAATGTACGCAGACGACGTTAAGTTATTTGAGTTCATTGGTGCATCAGGAGACAGGGAACAATTACAGGCGGACCTTAGTTATGTGTCTATGTCACTTAACTTGAAAAAGTGTAAATTTATGTGTTTTTCTAGAAGACACTTTCAATCATACCGCATTTGCGAACATAGTGTTGATCAGGTAACTAATTTCATCGATCTAGGCGTAACCATGGGCCCTACGCTTGAATTCAAGTCCCATGTAAACACTTGTATTAATAGAGCCAAGGGCGTCTTGGCTTTCATCAAACGTTTTGCTAAAGAATTCAGAGATCCTTATATCACGAAAGCTCTCTGCACCTACCTAGTCGAGTCGGTACAGAAACAATTCTTATTATTCGCATTAAACAATTTGCCTTGGGATTCGACATTAAATCTCCCACCGTACAAAAGCCGCTTGAAACTCATGAACTTGCCAACGCTTCACAGCCAAAGAGAGGTGCTCGGGGTTTTGTTCATGATTAAGATCTTGAGCGGGATGGTCAATAGTCCCTTTCTACTGAACCAGATCACGTTTTGTATTCCTCCTTGACCTTCTAGACATTACAAGCCCCTTAAGCTAACTATTTGTAGAACAAATTTTGAAATGCATTATGCTTTTCGTTGCCTATGCCAGGACTTTAATAAGCATTACGACTACTTTGACACCTCCGACTCAGTTTTTAACATTAAGAAAACCTTACTTGAGATTTTGAATAAACCCTGTACCTGTATAAACTGTATTTCTGTTCAGTTTATGAGGTAAATGTCTTCGACTCGCTCACTTTCCCGACTGCGGCACGGTTGTGTTGCGCATTTGTAAATTAAACTTTGAAATGCACGATGCTTTACGGTATTTGTGCCAAGATTTTAACAAACATTATGATTACTTCGACATATCTGAATCGCTTTTTTGTAGGTAATAAATTAATATCTTTAACCGGGAACGCTAAACTACACAATATTTATGACTGCTTGGTACAATTGTTATCGGCTTCGTATATTTTCGCGACCGCGTAAGACAATACGAGCTTGGATCGGAAACTCGACCCTCCCGACCATGGTCAACAGTCTGTCCACAGCGCGGATCGGAAAATAGGACTTTCCGCCCGCCGCACACAAAAGGGCACTAGAGAAGAGACTAGGCCTCGCCAGCTACCAAACATGCTATTTTATATTATTATTATTATTAAAAATTAATATCTAAATTATTGTACTCTGTAATATATCACACATACTTAAATATCTAAATGTTTTATCCTCATTTGTCTGTAAGAAAACATTTTTCTGTAGACCAAATAAATAAATAAAATACAAAACCGCGTACTGTTGTTCTGCAAAACCGCGTAACTGACATTTTCTGCCAAATTCGGATTTGCTCACACAAGATCTTGGCTCAATCTTCATCCATTCGTCCTGAAATATACTAGCCAGAAATGCGATTGCTTTATAAAAGGGAGGACTATTTTGAAATATGAGTGCTTTTACTCTCTAGAAAATAATTTATGCAATCTCCTGCAAAATGCTACGAAAAAGTTTTCTCTAAAGGTGTTTAAAATCCCTGATCGGTTCACTATAACATCTAGCTCCCATGCAACTGATTTTTCAGAGACGTTGTTTTGCGTTGAACTTCCTCCAATTAAGCAGGTAAAAACTTAGTATAGGCACACTTTAACATATAGCGCGAATACAATTCAGATATGAAGTTAGAGTTATATCGCAAAAACACACATTTGAGTAATCAGTTGTATTGGAACTATATGTTAAAGCGAACCTATTTCGATACTTTTAAGGAATAATTAAGGTAACATTAAAAGACCATTATGCAAAACTTTAGTAAAATAACTTCAAAACCAGAGCCAATCTGGTAAAACGGGGCATGCCATTGAATTCATAACATTCCAATTAATTTAGTTCAACTTTCAAAAGTTTTGCTCAAAATTTACAACTTACATAGCGCAATTTGAACCCAGCTTATTGTTTTGTTTTCTATTTCAGCGATCTAAATGTTTATTCCTGGTCTAACTTTTGAAGCGCTTAATGAAAATGTATTACACTTATATTTATCGATTTATCAAGAGATTACGAATAGAATAATACATAAAACATAGGTGTGCCAACAAATTTAAAAAAAATAAGCTTTTTGTTTTGAAAGTGTATCAGTTTTTTAGATTTTTATTAACAATAAACTATTTGTGAGGCTCCNTTAGCCGGTGTGCGTCTCTTGAGAGTCACTATACCCACGTATAAATTCCGCGGTGAATCAGCTATGCTTGAATGTCAGTATGAGTTAAATCGCACAGCACCACCGTATTATGGTGGTGCTGGTATCAGCGGTGGAAATGAATTTACAGTTGCTGGTGCCAACAACCGCCATCGCAGCCACACACGCTCACGTGCGCGCGCACACGCACGTACACGCTTTGGCAATAATATGAAACTGTCTAACACACATACCCTGGTTGAAACGAAGTCGAAACATAGGCGCAATAAACGTCAATACTCATACCATTCGGGTCGAATGCAAACGCACGAGCAGCAACAAGAACAGCAACAGCAACAGCACCATCAGCAATACCAGCAACATTATCAAACATATGCGTATCAGCCATCGCAAAGTTATGCCACCAGCAGTAGTAGCAGCGATATTGGCAACAGTGACACTAACAGCGACGTCATTTCTTACCAGCAAAAGCAGCAACAAAAAGAGGAAGAAGAGGAGCAGCGCTATCCCTACCAAACGCAGCGTTCGCCCTACGGTCATAGTGTTTATCGTGGTGCTGCCTTCAGTCAGGCGCTTGGCATTCCCGGATTCAGTAACAGCGGCGTGAGCAGCAGCAGCAGTAGGACGCATGTTGGCGCAAGCACCTACACCAGCAGCGGTTCACGCGGTACATTGGCGGAGGTCTCGTCACGACGACACAATTTCGCTGATGGCACTGCCGATGATGATGAGGAAGACGGCGAGGAGGAGGAGGAGCAGGAGGAGGAGGAAGAGGGCGAAGCATTGTATGCTATAAAGTGGTACAAGGACAATGAGGAGTTCTATCGCTTTGTGCCCAAGGCGCGCCCGCAAAAGACAAGCTATCGCTTTGACGGCATACGTGTTAGTGTAAGTATTACAATGCAAAATTGGAATGTAGAACGGAAATTGGAAAATGATAAATGCAAAACTCTGACATTTCAATAGCGCATGTATTGGTGCTGTTGTAACACATTTATATTTGCTTACATTTAGGTGCAGTATACATAAATAAATATGTTTACATACGATATTATTATACTTTTTCAAATCAGGAAGAACACTCGGATAGCTGGCGTGTACTATTGCGTGGTTTAGCGATCAATTCGTCGGGTCTATATCGTTGCGAAATCTCTGCTGAGTGGCCAAATTTTTCATCGGTGCAGGGAGAGGGCCATATGGATGTTGTATGTAAGTATTTCAATCTTTATAAAAAATGTATAAAAAGCATTATAGGTTAATTTGATGTCTAAAATATACACTTGTGATCAGCTGATAAAGTCAAGTGACATTTTGACTAGTTTTGGCTAGTTTTCTTTTGTCAATTTAATGTTTTTATTTTTTATAAAATTTTAGCAATACACATACCTAAGCAGCGCCACATAAATCCACATTTCAAACTTCGTACAAAAATTATGATTTTTAATTTTTTTTTTCTAGCGTTTTGAAATTCATATTTCAACCTACTAAAATTGAATAGTGTACAAAACTACATGCCACAAAATTTTTCTAAAAATTCTTCATAAAAAGTTCAAAATTTTCGGCTGCAAATGTTAAAGTTTGTTGAATTTTCATAATCTTTGTACGAAGTTTGAAATGTGGATTTATGTGGGACTGGGGCCCATTCTGGTTCCATAAATCTGTGAAGTGAAAATGTAAATTTTAATGTCAGTGAAAATTTAATTTGTTCATTTTATCATTTCGTTATATCATTTTAAGCGATTCTCGATCTTTAGCGGTTTTTCCATTAACATATGGCATGTAATTATTTGGTAAGTTATTGTGAGTTTAAGACAATGATATTCTTTATCAAGCATATGGAGGTGGTACAAGAGTTACCATTGGTCACAGCGCCTACCCAATTTTCTAATTTGAATACATAACTGGTGCTTACAGCCACAACAGTGATCGGACTTCTACCACATTGTGGTAGATCTGCCACTTTTTTGAGCATCTACCACATCTACCACACAAGGTCTGAAATCTACCACATATTCGCGTTTTTGAGTAACTAGTTTTATTTTTGCTCGACATAATTTTCTTAATTTTAAGAGCAAAAATTGCCCAACACTAAACACTGTATGGTAACAAGAATGATATAATACAAGATTCCGCATTCCCGGCGTCGATGAAATTTCCCAAGTAAAAGTAAACAGGGCCAAATGGGAGGATAAAATAAACTTTAAAATAGTAAATTTTCTCAGTAATCAATTTTTCAACAGGAAACGTGGTTAAATTGCAAAATACATTATTTATAAAAAGAACTAATAGCGAAAATGCTAAGAAACAGCGATTTTTGTGAAAGTATTAGTAAATTTCAGTGCATCTAAAGTTCCTGAGGCGTTGTTTACTTTTACTTGAGAATTGTCAAAATCGGCGAATCCCAAGTAGTGGCTTCTGTAGCGTGCCACATTTGTTCGCTACATCGTGATGTGATATAAAGAAACGCTGGCAGCATTCCGCAGGGTTGCAAAAAAAAATCTATGTTCGAAAATTATCTTGATATGGAAGGAACCGCTTTACACTGTCAAAGAAAAAACAATTGACNAATATAAAGAAACGCTGGCAGCACTCCGCAGGGTTGCAAAAAAAATCTATGTTCGAAAAATGTCTTGATATGGAAGGAACCGCTTTACACTGTCAAAGAAAAAACAATTGACAAAACTCAACGCAATTTTTAGCAACTTAAATCGTAAACTTTGTTATACTAAAATCATTTTTTTTTTTAGAGTCTAATTAAAAAGTTTGCAATTGAAGGGAAGCCTTGCAGAATTTTTATTTTTATTTTTTACAAAGTTTGATCCAAAACCTGAGATCTACCTCACTTTGTTGAAATATACCACACTTTTTTTCCAGATTCTACCACACGGAATTTTTTTGAAGTCCGATCACTGGCCACAAAACTTTTGTGAAAAAAAAGTTTCACAGTGAACNGAGCCTCGCAGAATTTTTATTTTTATTTTTTACAAAGTTTGATCCAAAACCTGAGATCTACCTCACTTTGTTGAAATATACCACACTTTTTTTCCAGATTCTACCACACGGAATTTTTTTGAAGTCCGATCACTGGCCACAAAACTTTTGTGAAAAAAAAGTTTCACAGTGAACACTTTTTGAAAAATTAATCAAGTTTCATTTGAAAACAGAATCGGAATTTCATGTGCAGTGATGAAAAATGCTTTCACTTCACGTTTTCACAGAACAAGCATTAAATATAGTTTTTTCACCATTCCGAAAACTACCGCTACATCGTAGAATGTTCACTTAGACATAATGATATAAACTTATATAGTAATACAATGAGGGCGGTATCAGCCCATTTTCCAAAATTCCATAATAATGTTACTGCTTATCAAGGGATTGTTGGTAATATCGGTTTTGAGTGAACTAGCGTCCCCAAATTTCGAAATATCGAAGCTTCAAGAATTTCTTAAATTTACCGTTATATGAAAAGTGGGAGTAATTTAGTCCGATCTCAATAATTTTCAACATTTTGGTGTTATGTGGTAAGCACAATAACCATACCGAGTTTGATACATATTGGTCGAGCGGTTACCGAAATAAATACATGTGATCATAAGGGGGCGGTGCCACGTCCATTTTCCAAAATTTTATGTTAAACTTATAATTATATTATTGCAAGCATCAATATTGAATAAATCAGCTTCAGTATTTAGGTGTTTCCATTAATATTTAAGCATACATTGCAAGTAAAATAAGATAAAATAAATAAGTTTCCATTAAAATCAAAGAAATTTATGCTCGCATTTTTCTGAATATTTTCTTTTTTTTGCGCCATAGCAAAGACAAAAATTGATTAAAACTAAAAAACAATCATGTTTCCCTTAATCGCTCGCTCAAATATACTTCACATTTCAATTCGGGTTGAAAAGTACGCTCGAAAAATATCTAAACTGTTCATATTCACTGCATTACCGACACTTTCCGGTGATTTAGGATTTTTCTCTATTTAGGGCCGGTTGTTCAACTCGCACTCGAACCGAGACTTTTTGTTCTGTTCATGGCTTTAATATTACATATTATCCGCCAGCTTACATTGCGATTAGTCTCTTCGTTAAACCGTTGTTGTTAAACTTTTCTTGGTAATGCGTTCCGATTTTCCCACAGGGTAGATTCTATTAACAGTTTTGTAAAACGACATTTGACACATAAGTTCCTTATGACATCTTTCATCTTTTCGTCCACACGTTATAGGGGCTCTTCATTACTTTATGCATGCCCAAACATTACCTTATCCCACTGGGTATGTACATTGGGTATTTCTGGACCAGCATACAAGTACGTGTGTAAGTACGCAGCAACTTTGGCATTTCACTCAAAGCTACTGCAACTAACCAGCAGAATCGATGCGATTTTAGAAAAAAAAAAANGCAGCGACTTTGGCATTTCACTCAAAGCTACAGCAACTAACCAGCAGAATCGATGCGATTTTAGAAAAAAAAAATACAAAAAGAAATAAAGATGAAATATGCCAAACAATTTGCAAGACAAATATAAATATGCAAAATAGAGAAATTGGTAAAAGTATTGAGGAAGAAGTTGCAGCAATCTGTGTTGCAAAGCATTTTGTTCATTACGCCAAAGTTTACTTGAAATTTATGCAGCTGCTGCTTCCGACGCCGATGTATTTACATATAAACACATACATACATACAATAGGTGCATATATACTTATGCATATGTATCTTGTTTTGTAGATGAAAGAGTTTCTTTAGATGTGTTAGTACTTGTTATTTAAAAAAATGTCTTGAGATATCCGCATATGGGCAAAAATCCGTAACCGTGTGATTCATCGCTGAAAAAAACGTTAAATTTTAAATTGAACCACAACAATAAATTATATATCAAATCGTTTGAAATCCATTGAGGAAACAATAAATTCGTGTATGATTAATTTCCCTTAAATGCTTAAAGATTTATAAGTAAGAAACCGTTATTTTCGATAATTCAAAGCTATCGATATTTCAAACATTTTCAAGATGTTTTTTAAGCAGTCCAGGAAAAATGTGTGTATAAAATTTGGTACAGATTGATGAAGTAGATTTCGAGATAGACATATTTCATGTAAGTGGGTGGTCCACGCCCTATCGCCAAAAAAAATCAATGAAAAACCAGTTTTCGCGTAAGCTGCATTGACATGATTCCAACCTGCTATGATTTCGTCTGTCAGTGTGCCATCAAAAAAAGGGGAAATTTGGAGACAATATTTGTTATATTTTCTATATTAGCTGCATTTTTTTGTAAGCGAGCAGCAAAAGAACGCTCAACTCGGGTAAAATTTCCCTTAGCTACTTAAGCAACCCTGTTGGTAGCTAGCAAGAAACACGTAATTACTTTAACAGGATTTAGATACAAAAACCAATTTAAGTGACGTATATAAGGATACAAAAATTTCCTTCTCCACTTTCTCATTAACAATTCAAAATAAAGCAGTTTTTTCACTGGCCAACACTACCCTTCAGGTTGCATATTTTTTTAGCCGACCTGGCTGAGCTCGGATAAATAGCCGAGTTTGTGTTGTNAAATTCAAAATAAAGCAGTTTTTTCACTGGCCAACACTACCCTTCAGGTTGCATATTTTTTAGCCGACCTGGCTGAACTCGGATAAATAGCCGAGTTTGTGTTGTTGTTTTGCATGCGTTTCGTCATTTAAGCGAGCATTTGTAGCTCGGTTGCAAAAGAATGCACCTATTATAGTTTTGATAAATACGAGTGACAGATTTCAAATAGATTCAGTTTNTTTAAGCGAGCATTTGTAGCTCGGTTGCAAAAGAATGCACCTATTATAGTTTTGATAAATACGAGTGACAGATTTCAAATAGATTCAGTTTTTTTCCAATGAAGGGCATCTCTATTTTTCAACACCTAATACATTTTTCAATATTGCAATTACTATTTTCAAAGCACACAGTTCTGGAGATTTGCACATATATATGTACATATGTATGTATGCACTTTATTTGCAACTCCCTTTATTACAACTTAATTTCATTTATAATGACGTTCCTAACGTTCGTACCAATTTTCAGCTTTATACGAGTTACTACAATCTTGAAAATCTAACTTGACGGGGCTAATATAAAACAATTTTGAAAATATGGTTTAAATCGAGTAACAATTAAAAAATATTTGTTACGCGGGTTATAATGGGTTGACAAGTGATCATTCCA